GGATGGGGTGGGGGAGGCTGGGCCCCGTGGATTTGCTGTGGATTTGAGTGGGTGGTGTGTTTATGTTGGGACTGTGTTTATTTATGGGCGAGTCTGCAGGTGGAATTGTTTTGAAAGACCCTCCCTCTCCTTCCTCTCCAGGCCTCCCTTCCTCAGCCCCACAGAGCCTGGGGGAGAGTGGGGACACAACCACTTTCTCATTTCAAGGGTGCCTGCAGCATCGGGGCCCTGGGGAGGGACGAGAGGGTGCGCAGCTAGAACACACGTGTGCATCGTTAGCGTTTATCTGGCACTTCTCCTGGGCCAGGCTCTATTCTAAGCACTTTAAATTTATGTATTTAACTCATCTAACCCTTCCCATGACTCTGCAAGGAAGGGACTGTTGTTATCCCCACTTTACAGATGAGGAAACTGAGGCACAGTGAGATGACGTGACTTCCCCAGTTGAGTGGCAGAGCTGGGATTTGAACCTAGGCCTTTTGGCTCTTGAGTCCTGCTGTACCACCTCCCATTTACTGAGCACTGACTGTACCAGGCCCTGTGCTCAGCACTTTTATTTATGACCTCATTGAATTCTCATAGTTCAGAGAGGTAAAGCCACCTACCCTGGGCCACACAGCGGGCTGAGGATTGGAACCTGAGCCAGTGGGACTTGGGAGCCCACAGTAGCAACCAGAACAGGACTCTATGTCCAGGTCTTGTCCAGGGACCCTTCTATGCGCCTCCTGTCTCGGTCCCCATTGGACACTCGCTGCATTTTGGGGTCAGGCCAGCCTTCTGTTTTGGGAAGCTGAGCAGGGAGGCAGCTGCCGTCCTGCTGACCCAGCCACCTGGAGAGGAGTCAGCTAACCCACGAGGAAAATGGTCAGTAAACTCCCTGGGCTGTCACCAGGTGAAAATACAGGGCCAGGCCCCGGAGAGGCCAGGGAGGGAGGAGCCTCTGGGCCGGTTCTCTTCCGGAAGGAAAGACCCTTGGGAGGGTGTGGGGGATGCTAGACCCCAGGTCCTGGAACAGGGTTCTTTTGGCTGTCATCCTCTTGGAGCCTTCACAGAGGAAGGACCACAATTAACCCTCAAACAGACAACCCAGGGTGAGGGTGACATCACCCTGCATTCCAGAAATTGGGGCCCAGGGAGGAGCAGCCTGAACTCACACAGGTAGGGCCAGGCAGGACAAAGACACGGGTGTGTGGGCTCGAGACCCTGTGCTGCGGCCTCCCACTGCAGTGAGACACCCACGCTCCCTCCCTCGCCGGGCTCCCGCCTTCGCGGGCCCAGCTACAGGGGTCCGGGTCTGGAAGGGCTGGGCGGAGGGCCTCTGAGACCCCCTTGAAGGTGCGGTTTTCTGCATGGATTTTTGCCTAATGTTTCATCTACAATCCCAGGGGCTTGGAACGCTCTTTCTGGGCGTGGGGACAAATCCTGGTGGCTCCCCACATTTGCTCAGGCTCTGGGTCTTGGAAGACCCATCTCCGAGTTCCCTCTCTTGGACACCCCCAGAGCCAGTGCATCCTTCCTTTTCTCAGACCCCCCCACAGGTGACACTCGGGGACTTTCCAGCACACTGGCCTCCACGAGGGCAGAATTCTTGGGTATCCTGTTTGCAGCAGCAGCCCCCCCACCCCGTGCCTAGAAGGGTGCCTGGCGCCTTGCAGAGCTCAGCACGTCCTGGCCGAGTAGATGTCGTATTAACAACCCAGCGTCCGAGTTACCTCGAGCACGCGTGATGGACTCCACACGCAGCAACGCGCCGGAATATTAACTGAAATCTCCGGAGCGCTTGGGAGGTGCCGGACCCCAAGCCAAATGCTTTCCAAGCGTGTTTTTATTTAATTCACATCAGCCCCACCGGCACCGCAGAGGTTCCTGGCGTAACCCTCCCAGCGCCCCTGCTGGCCCACCGCGGACACGGGTGGGAAGAAACCTGTGTTCTTGGAAGTGGGAATTCCCGACTGACGTGGGGCTGAGGCGCAGCCTGGACTATTCCGATTAACTATCTATCTCTGTCCTTTTGTGCTTGTTGGTGTTGCGTCAAAAGGACTTTCTCAGCTGCCATCCTTCTGGGGTTCAGCCATCTGCCTCCCTCTCTGCCAGGAGATGGGCTGGGGAAGGGGCGCCTCTTTCTCACGGTTTGGGACATTTAAGTGCCATCCTGAGGCACTTAGGCAGCCGGTGGCCTGGAGACCTTTGGGGGAGGGACAGCTGGAACATGTGTCATCTTGACTGTCCCTTTCTCTGAGG